GGTGTTGCTGGTGATGTTTTTTTCATCTGTAAAATCAGGACGCCATTTTATCTACCTCATAGAATTGTTTCGTGGGTCCAAAAAGATACCACAGGTCAAACGTCTGCCACCAGGGTGGTACTTTATAAACGATAAGTTTCATCAGTAGGACTATTAATATGGGGCTACAAGTCCTCAGAATACGCAAAGTGCTTAGTTAAGAAGCAATAAATAATGGCTGTTGCTTTTATTAGTAGAAATGACAACGTGAGTCCTACTATAGTGGCTAAGGGAGAAATTCAAGGACATAATTTGCAACGTATATTTACGATATGTGTGTGTGTGTATATACATGGATGGAGGCAGGGAAAAATTTGACTGGAAATGCACTTCACTGGCTCGGGGACTTGGCGCTGAGGTGGGCGCGGAATGGGGCACCGAGTCAGGAAGACGGGGGACAGACTGAGTAAAGGCCCCCGTGGCAGAGTTTCTAAAAATTCAGATGGACGAGTTTTGCTTCCCCAGTTGATTTTACTAACTTAAAAAATTCATGATGTGACAAGTTCTGAAACGGAGACCGCAAGACGGATGGTGTATATTAAGCGATTCAATCTGGCGTGACCTCAGGCAGAGCTTGTCCTTCGTAGCCTGTGTGTGTCTGTGCCTGCATGGGGCGGTGAGCCACTTGGGACAGCCGAGGGAAATCAGTGCCACTCATAAATGAATCCATCTGGCGCATGGGAAGGGCACATTTGGAGATGCCAGGATCTTTCCCATGGGGAGCAGTGTGGCCAAGTAACGTCCATCCGAGCCCCGAGCGCTGTCCAGCAGCTGAGAGAAGGCTGGCTGCGGCAAAGTGAATTCCTCTTGGGAGACAGTCCCCTCGCTCCTGTCCCCGTGTAAATGGCTGCATTTTGACAAAGCGAGTTAACACTTAGCGCACTCACCTATTTGAGCCACGGGTGCAAAAACTGCTACAGATGTTAAGAACGCTTGCTCTCTGATGGCAGGAAAATCTGAATCTAAATGCTGCCACGTTTGACAAGGAATGTTGGCTCTCTACTGAGAAAAAGCATAAATGCAGTGCAGTGTCTGAAGGCCTGAAAGTTGGAGGGGGGGTGTCAACATTGAAATAGATAGAATTTATCCTTCAGATAAATCTTAGTGTCATCATTTTGATCAAATCATCTCTGACACATAGCAACATGTGACGCAATGCATTATTTAGCCGATTTAGTAGGAAAACAAAGTTTTTTCAAAAAATCTTTTTTTAGATTTTTTAAAATTTCTTCTTGAGAGAGAGAGAGAGAGAGAGAGAGAGAACAAGCAGGGGAGAGGCAGAGAGAGAGAGAGAGGGAGACACAGAATCCGAAGTAGACTCCAGGCTCTGAGCTGTCAGCGCAGAACATGACATGGGGCTCAAATTCATGAACCATGAGATCATTGCCAGAACCAAAGTCGGACGCTTAACAGACTGAGCCACCTAAGCTCCCTCTGTTTGGTTTCTTCTTTTTAAAAAAAACTTTTTTTCTTAAATGTTTATTTACTTATTTTGAGAGATAGAGACAGAGCATGAGCAGGGGAGGAGCAGAGAGAGAGAGGGGGACGCAGAATCTGAAACAGGCTCTGGGCTCTGGGCTCTGGGCTGTCAGTACAGTGCCCGATACGGGTCTCGAACTCACAAACCGTGAGATCGTGACCTGAGCCGAAGCCGGACACTCAACCGACTGAGCCACCCAGGCGCCCCTGTTTGTTTCCTTCTTAATTCACTGTCAAGTAGGTACTGTGTTTGTGGGATCGGAGCTCAAACACTCAATAATGGGCTGTGTCTTTAAAATTTCATCGTGCAAATTTCATATTAGAAATATTTTTCCTTTGGGAAAGAAAATCACTTGTCCTCGTATTATTTCCCTGAACACGTATCCTAATGATAGTGATGCACCTGGGCGTTTCAGATAGAGGCAGATGGAGATCGGCCTACGATTCAGACCTCTGGGAGCAAGTGTGGGAGGCAGTTGGAACGTGACCCACGAGAATGTACCTGTAGCAGTGACAGAGGCATTTCTTAACGATTTCTTGTTTTAAGCAGAGAGAGTGGAGCACGTAAGCTTGGCATAAGAACACCTCTGAGTATTCAGCACGTTCTCTGTCCCATGGTTCAGCTCCAGGCACGCGTACCTGAGCCCGTCGAAAGAGGAACTGACGGCCACAGAAGTGTCTTTTGAGCGGGGGGGGGGACAAAAGGCAGCACTGTTTTGGAACCCGTGCCACTGAGTAGAGAACTTACTACATCACGGCTAGAGCAGGCTGTGAAGACCCGCAAATGTCATCAGTGGCCTGGAGGCCTTTGGCGAAGAGTCACCTCCAAACGGTTCAGTGTTCGACTCAGCAGATCGACTCGGCGGATCCAGGAGTGAGGTGGCAGGAGCAGCTGGGCAGCCGCGTGGTCTTTTTTGGGGACACCGAGGCTCACAGCGATCAGGAGCTGGGGGTTGACAGGGGCCACATGGTGAACAGCACATGGCCGGTGGAGGGGTATTAAATTTTGGATTTTGAGCTAAGCCAGGTAAGGGGTGGGGACGTCTAGGCAGTAACACCCTGGATCGAAAGGAAAACAGCCTGGCAGCCTCTTTCGGAGTTAGCAATACCAGCCAGGTGCCTGGGACCCGCCACCCGCCCATGGCTTCCACAATCCCTCCCCCGCACATCCCCCTTTTGCTTTGCACGTGCGAGTCTCCAGAGACATACTCACCTACCAGTGGTCATTCTCAGGACTCATCTTCTTTGATTTCTCTGTGGCATTTGAATGCGTTGGCCCTCCTTCCTTCCGGAAACTTTCCTATTTGGCTTTGAACTCACTGCCTTATACAGATCCGCCCTGTGTCCTTCCTTCCATCTGTCCTTCCCTTACCGGCTCCCAGACACTTTCTGTTTCAGGATTCTCTATTCAGGAAGCTGGGATCACCAGCATTCAGGCAGGTACCTAGTCTTAAATCTTAGAATCATCATCTGATACTTGTCCCTCCATATTTTTTCCAATCAGACTCTTCCTCCCTTTATACCTACCAGTTTACCATGTTGGCAGCCCATGCGTTTGCCTCCTACTAAGTCTCAATGACTATAAGCTCCCTCCCCTCCAGCACAAGCCGTGAACATGTAGATAATAGGCACTGTAGTGTTCCTGCCTTAGACGGTTCTGGCCTTCCCACTGCACTCAGCACAATGCCTTTTGAAACACAGGCACTCGACAAATGTTTGTGCAATGAATGGGTAAAAAGAGGTGTGCTGGGCACTTCTGAAGCATGAGTGGCAACCCAGATAGGGAAAGATGGCAAATGCAATTTGTAAATGCTCTTCTGTTGAAAATGAACAAGAAGATTAAGCTATAAATATTCTTTCCGAGTAATTAAACAGAACAAAAGGTAATAATAGTTAGCATAAAATGCAATCATTTTTAATAGCTTCTGAAAATTAAACAGGCCTTACGGCAATAAATCTTAAAGCGCTTCCATTACCCGTATTAAAGAACCATAATTCCTGGGACTTAGAAATGGCCCAGTCCTTTGAATTGCATTGAAATTATCACTGTGGAGCCTGGAAGTTGCATTCCTGGCATTAAAGAACCAAAGAGAATCATTTAAATATTAGATGTTGTCAGGTTCTGACATTTGATCTCACCCTGCTTTCTAAGCTTGTAAGTTACCCTGTTAGTGCTTAGTGGATATTGACAGAAGACACAAGACTCCTGGGTCAGAGATAAAGGACTTCATTACACATAGCACGCCAAGTGGTATGATTTGTGTTGGTTCCCTTGCCCTCCAAGTTTCAAGGAGATGAACAGCCCCGACGGATACCTGCACATGTAGTGAGTTGTGTTACAAGAGAGGACCACTGGGCTTGGAAAGCTCTCCAAAGAGTCTGCTCCTTGAGCTAGAAGGAGGCATTATCCATCCTTAAGATTGGTCACTGCAAATACAACCCAGAGAGATGGATCAAGAAAAGGGGGCTTCATATATTTTTTTTCAGGTCAAATATCCAATTTGATAGCAACAAAAAAATCAACATGGAAAAAAATGAGGATGAAACACCTACCAATGAAATGAGAGTGTCTTGACACCAATTTGAACTAACTGCAAAAACAAAATTAATGTTTACAAAATAATAGGGAAAGAGGACCACTAGATATTTGATATTAAAGAATTATTATTTATTTGGGGAAAGTATGAAGATAACAGAGTATCTATATTTTATTTATTTATTTTTAATTTAATTTTTTATTTTTTTAAATTTACATCCAAATTAGTTAGCATCTAGTGCCACAATGATTTCAGGAGTAGATTCCTTAGTGCCCCTTACCCATTGAGCCCATCCCCCCTCCCACAACCCCTCCAGTAACCCTCTGTTTGTTCTCCATATTTACGAGTCTCTTATGTTTTGTCCCCCTCCCTGTTTTTACATTATTTTTGTTCCCTTGCCTTATGTTCATCTGTTTTGTATCTTAAAGTCCTCATATGATTTTTGTATCTTAAAGTCACTCATATGGGTGAAGTCATATGATTTTTGTCTTTCTCTGACTGACTAATTTCACTTGGCTTAATACCCTCCAGTTCCATCCATGTAGCTGCAAATGGCCAGATTTCATTGTTTTTGATTGCCGAGTAATACTCCATTGTGTATATATACCACATCTTCTTTATCCATTCGTCCATCGATGGATATTTGGGCTCTTTCCATCCTTTGGTATTGTTGATGGTGCTGCTATAAACATGGGGGTGCATGTGTCCCTTCGAAACAGCACACCTGTATCCCATGGATAAATGCCTAGTAGTGCAATTGCTGGGTAGTAGGGTAGTTCTATTTTTAGTTTTTTGAGGAACCTCCATACTGGTTTCCAGAGTGGCTGCACCAGCTTGAATTCCCAAGAAGGCATCACATTCTTGACATTCCCAGCAAGAACTTGCAGGAATATTCAGGGCACACAGCAGACTGCCTATCCCAACCGTTGTCAGATAAGATTCATATTCAAAGTCACAGGATACCGGTCTTAGCTTTTGAAATTTAGAATGTTGGCTATTAGAGTTCCTTGATGAATGTCCTTAGAGAAAAAAGAATGTGAACAGAAAAAATAATATTTGTTAGTAAAACGTACAAGTACAAATCAGACCATAAAGAAAGGGAGACGTAAGTTATAACTTGATGTTTTTCCACAAGAAAGTGTAGTAACCCAAATAAAATTCTCTTGACTTTAGCACAGGAATTGACACTTTAGAAAGAAAACCTTTTCCTTGCTATGTATTACTCTTAAAAGCCCATGGCTATTTTACTGCAGCAGAATCTGACTTTATCCCAATTGTTACCGTAACATTTGTTAGTGGACCTCTTTACTGAGTTGTGCAAGTTATGTTAGGGATACAGGTGCAGAAGAGAAGCTAGCCCCTTCCTTAAAAGGCTTACAGTTGAGTTTGGTCATAGGCCCTGTCATCTGTTCTAGTATGTTTGAGCACAAAGAAATGTAGTAAAAGCATCTTGGTAGTTCACGAGATGCTTGAGAAGGCCTGACAAGCAGTTCGAGGGGCTGCACCACAAGAACATAGGCAGGGGGGAGCAGCCCGGCCAACCCAGCCGGGAGAAACAGCCAATCTCACGACAGGGCTGTGGGGCGGACACAACTCAACAGCTACAGCCCAAGGCTGGGCAGCTATGGTGTTGGGACTCGAACTCAGACCCTCTGCCCCAGCTGCCCCAGGAAACACCATGGCTGCCGGAGCATCTCCTCGCTGTGACTGCTCCTTCCACGTTCTCTCTCCTGCTTCTCAGTTGTGTGTCGTGCAACCTGATGGCGGGAGCTTGGTCTCATACAGGACTTGGCTACAAAGGACTCAGGGGAAATGAAATTTTGGCTGTATAGTCTACGTACTTCAGGAAGACAGGTTGGAAAGGGGACTGGAATCATTAGGCCAGTGTTTATCCTTCTTCTCATCGGCAGGCAGGATAGACAAGTAGTAAATCGCAAGCAGTTATTAAATGGTTGCTAAAGAAAGGACCGCACTGATGCATGCACATGCTCATTGGGTGTGTATAGACCAGTGCCGTCCGCTAGAAGCAGAGCGTGGGCCACAAATGTGAGTCTTACACGTGGCTTTACATTTTATAGTACCCAAGTTAAAGAGGTAAAAAGAAACAGGTGACATTAATTCATTACTGTGATCTAGCCCAATATATCCAGAATATTACCATTTTCTCATAAAATCTCAATGTACGATTTAAAAAGTATTTCGGATTCTCCTGCGTTTGCTCCTCCTCCGTGTCAGCCCCCCCTGCTCCTCGTCCGCCAACCCCCTGGGGGAGGTGCGCCCGCCACCGCTGGGCCTGGCCTGTCACCGGCCAGGTGAGAAGTCCCAGCTGGAAGAGAGGGAAAATCAGAAGGATTTTTAAGGCTGCGCCGTTCAAGGGCCATGGGGTGTTGCGGGGAATCGCTCCATCTAGGTTCAGGCTGATGAGGGATTCCTGCACCTTTGAGTATTTGAAAGTCCCCCGTGCGAAAACTGGCCATTGGTCTTGTCCACCCATGAGACCCACAAAGCCAGCGGTGACCAGCTGGCTTGCTTTTAGGGCCCAGTTTTGAATAGGGCCCATCGCCCGGGTGGGTTTTGTTTGTATTTTCAGGTATAAATAAAGAGGGCTGGGGGCCTTCAGAGAGAAGATCAAGGAACCCCAGGGTGGTGCAGGAGAACTGCATGGAAAAGTGGCATTTGAGTTCATCTTTGAAATAATATTAAAGTTGAGAGGAATTTGAAAATGGAAAATAATGTGGCAAAGGTCAAGGTTGGTTATTTTCAAAGGTGGTGGAAGTCTTCCTGGACTAGTCGCCCTTGCTATGTTGGCCAGGGTTGGAACCTGACCCTCAGAAGCCTGATTCTGGGAGCACAATGCATACCAGCCAATCTCACGACACTGATACATGAAATCAAAGTGCCATTTTTTAAAAATTAAACTTTTTAGGGGTGCCTGGGTGGCTCCGTCGGTTAAGCATCGACTTTGGCTTAGGTCATGATCTCACCCTTCGTGAAGTCGAGCCCCGCGTTGGGCTCTGTGCTGACAGCTCAGAGCCTGGAGCCTCCTTCGGATTCTGTGTCTCCCCCTCTTTTTGCCCCTCCCCCGCTCACCCTCTGTCTCTCTTTCTCCCCCAAATAAGTAAACATTAAAAAGATGTTAAAAAGTAAACTTTTACTTTGAGGTAATTGTAGAGTGACAGGTCGTTGTGAGAAATAACACAGAGATGTCCCAAGTACCCTTTGCCCAGTTTCCCCCAATGGTAATTATCTTGAAAAACCATGGTCGGACATCGCTACCGTGATATTGACATTGATACAGTCAAGATACAAAGTATTTTCATCAACACCGGACCCCTCGTGCTGTTCCTTCCTAGCCACATCTACTCCCCACTTCTTCCACCTTTTTTTTTGTTTTGTTTTTAAGCCTTGACATCCACTAAATGTTGCCATTTCAAAATTATATATTATAACTTTATATCAATGGAATCGTACAGTATTATAAACTTTTGGGGCTGGATTTTTTTCACTGAGCAAGAGTCTCTGGAGGTTGTTGCATGTCTCATAGTTTGTTCCTTTTTACTGATAATTAGTATTTCTCTTGTTTACATGTGCCACTGTTTCACCCATTGAAGGACATATGGGTTGTTGATCATGTTTTGGTTACTGCAAATAACGGCGCAACAGACATTTATGTACATAAATGTACAGGTTTTTAAATTTGTTATTTATTTGTGTTTTTAAGGAGAGGTCCATTCTAGGACCTGCCCCTTTAGCTTACCCACCAAGATGACAAAAAGCCTCAGGGTTTTGTGTAAACATAAATTTCCATTTCCCTGGGACAAATACCCAGGTGTGCCATTGCTAAGCTGTATGGTTCTGGTATGTTTAGTTTTTAAAGAAACTGCTACACTGGGGTCTAGAGTGACTGTGCCATTTTATATTTCCACCAGCAATGTGTCAGTGATCTGACTTCTCCACATCCTCATCAGCATTTGGTGTTGTCACTATTATTTATTTTAGCCATTCTGTATGACGCGTAGCGATATCTCACTGCAGTTTTAATTTGCGTTTCCCTAATGGCTAATGATATTGAACACATTTTTATGTGATGATTTGCCATCTGCATATCCTTTTCAGTGAAATGTCTCCCCATGTCTTGAACCATTTCCTATTTCAGTTGTTCGTTTGTTTTTTTTTTTTACTGTTGATTTTTGATCGTTCTTTATGCGCTCTAGATACTCGTCCTTTGTTGTATGCGTAGTATGCAAATATTTTCTCCCCATCCGTAGTAGCTTGTCTTTTTATTCTCTGGACTGAGCAAAACTTTTTACTTTGATGAGGTCCAGTTCAGTAATTTTTCTTTTTATGGATCATGCTTTTGGTGTCTAAGAACTCTTTCTTTAAAAAAAAAAAAAAAA